GTTTATTTTGTGCTGTACTTAAACCATTGATTGTTTTTGCTCATCCCTATTTAGGATTCTCCACACCAAATGTATTTATATCTAACAACATTTTCCTCCATGCTACAGCGCTTTGAGCCTTTTTCACTTTGGGATATACTTGTTTGTCATAAAAAGATTTGAATCAAATGAAACACAAACATCTTCAGTACTTGTCCAAAATTAGAACCATTAAGCCGCGTCACTGTATTTTTGTAAAAGCATTCTCCTGGCAATGGTTCTGAAAAGTCATTAGCTTGAGCAACCAAATGATGGCACAAGATACCTGAGTGAAAAGCTACTTAAAAAATATTAGTTTGAAAGGTGTCATGAGAAGTTTTTCACCATGGTCCGCTCCATGCCACCTTTGCTAATCGTTGTTAGAAATCACTATGAAACAGAGCCAACAAAAAGATTCAACAATGAATAAGTCAGTGTAGTGGTGTCAGTCTCTGATTCATTAGAAGTTTTTGTTACCTAGGTAGGATTACATGAATTCTTATTCAATGAATTTCTAGTTGTTTAAATTGTTGTATGTCGTGCGTGACTGCAGACTGAGATATGACTTTTGTTGATCAGGTAAATCTGAGACAATGTCATGTGGGAAGGATACCGCATCTCAATCTTCGTTGAAATCTTCTCTAGTGATTCATGCCAAAGAAGCAGCAGCCGACTCAAAACAACCTCTTGGGCCCAAGAGGAAAAGATCAAATAAAATCCCTGTGGGCAGTGATCCTAGGATTGACAATAAAAGTAGGCATGGTAGCCAACCTGCTGATGGATCTGGTGTAACCTCGGCCAAGGATCCTACAAGTGCGAAAACACCATTAGACAGGTTAAAGCAGCCAATGCCTTACAGAGGGCGGAAGGAATTAATGAGCTTCTTGCAGGAGGCAATGGACAGTCCCAAACAAAATATACCGGCAGCTCCAGTTTCCCAAAGGAAGAGGGTTGCTGCTCCTGTGGGTAGTGTGGATCGGAAGTTATTTGTACTCACTCCAATGCCCCTGCGTTGTGATGGTAATGCTGTTCCTGGTTCTGGGACGATTAACAGCAAAGGTATGCTTTTCCATTGAACAGTGTTAGACCTTGTGCATTGAATCCAGTGACCTCAGGTGTTGAGTGATCTAACTAATTGGTTCTTGCAGGAAATGGAAAGCAGCGAAGAGAAGGTCCATGTGTTGGAACTAAAGGATTCCGAGCTCCAGAGGTTTGATGTAGTTCCTACCTGAGAGTTTTTCGGCTTCGAGGTGCCACATATTGAATGGCTGTTTTTTCCTTCAGGTTCTTTTGAGATCTTCTCATCAGAGTTGCAAAGTTGATGTCTGGTCGGCTGGGGTGACACTCCTGTACTTCATAATCGGCAAGGCACCTTTCGGCGGAGATCCTGAACAGTGAGTTAGCTGGCTCATTTTCAAAGCTTTGCTTCCCTGAGTTAAAGAGCACGCTAACCTCGTGGCATATGTTGAACAACAGGAACATGAAAGAAATAGCGAAGATCAGAGGCAACGAAGAATTATGGGAAGTAGCAAAACTGCACAACTGCGAGTCCTCGTACCCAGAGGTACGCAAGGTCAACTGATCGACACATTGACACCCTATGAATTGATCACTGAATCAGTAATTCTGCCTTTGTCTTCCAGGAGCTATTTGATGTCAAATTGCTTCAGTCGGTGGATCTCAGGGAGTGGTGCATGGCCAACGCCCGCAGGCCGGAGCTCCTGGAGCAGGTCCCTGACTCGCTGTTCGATCTCGTGGACAAGTGCCTGGCGGTTAACCCCAGGTGCAGGATCACGTCGGAGGACGCTCTGTCGCATGAGTTTTTGGCCCCGTGCCGTGAAAGCCTCAAGAAGAATGCGCTTAGGAGTAGGTCAGCATCAGCTTCTCGCTGTCCATGCTTGCCTCGAGATGCCATGGTTAACGCCAACGAGTTGTAGCACTCGTTTCCAACCTTACTTGACCTGTTTTGACCTGAGTAAGCTTAAGCTGAAACTGGCAACTGACGTGTCGTGTGTGGCTGTGTGCCAATAGCTTGTTTATCTGTTTATCACTGCTGTAAATGCTGTACTTAAAGAATGTAATAATTAATGCTCTAATGTTCGTGTGTGCTGAGAAGGTTGTTATTATAAAGTGCTATTGCCTGATTTACGTATGGAGTTCCTCTTGTTACTATGGAAATTTAGCAGGTTTTAACGAAAATTTCATGCTTGAAACACATTTTCTCGGTCTGCCTGGTACTCCTCGTGTTATTAAAAGTAGTATGCTTGTTACAGAGGGAGTAACAAAGAGCTTAGAATGTGTGGTTTTGTTGACCGGTGGTCGTTACAGGATTCAAAGATGCAACCGGTGCTTCCGGCATGAGAAAAAAGTCGTTTCGTTCTTCAATAGAAAAATGCAAACAGATAGAATTTCTTCAGAAATAGGTAGAGCACAACTGTTTTCGCCTGGCATAACACAGCATACGTGGAGCCTCATCTGATCACAGGAAAGTCTTGCCTTGCCATCCAATCCACCACCAGCGGCGGTGTACAGGATTGCAGGTTTCAGCCTCTGTTTCCTCGGTGACTACGTGTCCTACAACGCCTTCGCATACCCGCATCGCATGATCCTCTCATCTCCTTATCCACAAGAAACCCTTGCCCCGGACGAAACTGCTTGCGCGTACCCGGTCAAAACTCTCGACGGTTCGCCACTCGTCTGCGATTTTGTTCTTTCATCATCCATGGTGCCTGCAGATTTCATACCCAGTAGACAGTGACGGAAATCGGACTCATCGCTGTCCGGGTGTTGTTTTATGACTGAATGTGATGCTTTTGACGAACAGTAGCGAGCACTAGGTTTCATTCAATAAAGAAGAAGACCGTCAGAGCCCGGAAGTTACAATGAGAAATAGGTTGAGATGCACAAGTCACTACTAAATGTGATGTGATGTGTTGCGATGCAACCCGACGATGACTTTTACAGCTTCGTGTTCAGTGAAATTCACCCATTTATCGTGGTGGAAGTGAGCCAGTTTATGCTAATTTTTCGTTTGTTCTGAAACAGGCGGTAGTAAAACTGGGAGTACGATTTACGATTTAACGCACCCGCAAAAGGAAAAAAGATTTACGATTTTTTTGAGCATCAGTACAGACACAAGCGCTCATCGGAAATCCTGAAATAAATTCAGGAATAATGCGAGCACCAGGATTTGAACCCTGATGGGTTAGGGATACCACTGTTCACCTAACCAACTCAACCATAGGTTGATTCGCTAAAAGAAAAGATTTACGATTTAACGGGTGATGAAACCCGCAAACCCGGCCCGGCAAGCAGGACTCCATCATCAACAAGGCAGCGAGGGAGGACGTCGAGAAAAGAAAAGAGCAGCAACCAACCAGCCGAAGCGACGCAACGCAAACGCAACCGGGACTGACTGAGCCGACGAAGCATCTGGGCCACGCCGCCACAAAAGGCAAAGGCAAGGAGAAAGCCCCGATGCCTCCCCTCCTCACCTCACCCGCCTCCCTCTCCTCCTCCCCGCTCCGCCTCGCCTCCCGCCTCGGCGGCGCCGCCCTCCGTCCGACCTCCCACCACCACCGTCGGTTCCTCGCCCCCGCTCCCCAAACCGCGCCGCGGGGCACCACCACCGGCGGCGGGTTCGCGGCGATGAGCTGGCTCGGGAAGCTGGGGCTGGGGGGCGGGGGAAGCCCGCGCGCGTCGGAGGCGTCGGCGGCGCTGGCGCAGGGGCCCGACGAGGACAAGCCGGCGCCCGGGTGCGAGTTCGCGCAGTTCGGGGCCGGCTGCTTCTGGGGCGTGGAGCTGGTGTTCCAGCGCGTGCCCGGGGTCACCCGCACCGAGGTCGGCTACAGCCAGGGCGCCTTTCATGACCCCACCTACGAGGACGTCTGCACCGGCGCCACCGGCCACAACGAGGTCGTCCGCGTCCAGTACGACCCCGCCGCCTGCAAGTACGACGACCTCCTCGACACCTTCTGGGCGCGCCACGACCCGACCACGCCCAATCGCCAGGTCCGTCGCCATTCGGCCACACAGCCTGATTGCTGATCCCCTCAATTTTGCTTTTGATTCCTTTTCTGTGGCTTGGAGTGTGTGGATACGGAGTTTCAGGATTGGGGAAAATTTTCTGGACATTACAAATTTATTACTGAGAAAATATCTTGAGAATTTTTTGGGAAAATTGCTTAATTAGTTCTCTAGACAGAAACAATTTATTGCAAAATTGACAAACAAAAATAGGAGGAAAAAAAATCGTCGCCTGAGAGATTCGAACTCTCGCGGGGAAACCCCATGTACTTAGCAGGCACACGCCTTAACCAATCGGCCAAAGCGACGCGTATGTTCTTTCTGTCGTCGGTTCTACACAGCAGGTGTGAACTTAAATATGCACCGTACAAACATTACCGACCCTTAACGGATTTAGGCAACCCTATATACAGAGTGTCAGCCTACAACTGTGAATCGGGCAGCGAGCTAAGCATGCCTCGAGAGTAGTAGCACTTGGGCATTTGATGTGTACATCCTGCGATTGTGTGTATAGAGGTCTGCAAACCTGTTGCTTCCCTTTACATTTTGCGCGGAATAGGCATAGCACTGGCCACCGGCAGTGTTCCTGACTTTTTTTCAGAGGAACTATCTAGCTAAACACTCTTCAGCGGTTAGTACCGCAGCGATATTGGCATTTGTGCAGTTTTGTGTTAAGCTAATCAGTGTTATGAGAGTGGTGGTAATCTTGGCCGTAAGGCTCAGCTGCAGAATCCATTATACCTGTTGGGGTCAGTCATTATACCTGTTGGTGCCCTTTGTTAACTGATATTTCAAACTAGCTCTTAGCCTTTTGAACTATACTACAGAAGCTTTTCAACCTCTGATGTGAACTTACTTGAATCTCTGAATAATATCCTCAAGCTCATTTGATTGCGAGCAATGGAACTTGCTTATGCATATTTGTACAAGCCCATTTCTCGGGGCCTCTTTGGTTCAAAGGATTTTCCTAGGAAATTTAAAGGATTGGAATCCTTAGGATTTTTCCTACGTTGGTGGTTTGATTCATAGGTTTGAATCCCAGGAATTTTTCCTAAGAATTCCTTTGAACTACATTCCATAGGAAATTTAGCATCCACTCACAAACCTCTTGGTAAGAGTCCTTTGTTCTTACTGTGATGCTATCAAACAACTAAAATCATGTAGGATTCAAATGGGCATGACATCACAATCGTATGTTTTTTTCAATTCCTGCGTTTTTGGAATTCTACTAATCAAACAGGCCCTGTTTCCGACAAACGGCAACACAATCAGTTCCTTTTCTTAAATGTTCATTACTTGTGTTTCTGATCACATAAATTTCTGAAATGTGTGCACGCAGGGGGGCGATGTCGGAACCCAGTACAGGTCAGGGATCTACTACTACACATCGGAGCAGGAGAAGGCGGCGCTCGAGTCTATGGAGAAGCAGCAGAAGGTTCAGAACCGGAAGATAGTCACTGAGATCCTCCCCGCGAAGAGGTTCTACAGGGCGGAGGAGTACCACCAGCAGTACCTTGCGAAGGGCGGTCGCTTTGGCTTCAAACAGTCCACGGAGAAGGGCTGCAACGACCCCATCCGCTGCTACGGATGAGCGAGCCTGGTGACCTGACCAGCATGGAAGCACACAAGCAGCAATTTTATAGTCAAGAATGCTGCCTGAATAATGGTGGATGTCAGCTGAATTTCACTACAGTTTTCCTAGCTTGTGCTGTTACCTAAATGCAAGGATTGTAAGAGAGAAGAAAGTTATTACCATTATACTTTATTAGTGTTGAATTACCATTGTAATTTAGTGTTGAATTGCCATCGTACTTAGGATAAATTATGGCCTGAGTAATAAAGTTCATTTTAATTACAAAAATGGTGTTATCAGAGTTAGCAGGCCTGGTTAGACCCTCTGTCTCAAATTACTTGTCACATAAATGGATGAAATAGATAGAAATGGATGTATTTAGAACTACAAATATGCCTAGATACAACAATTCCCGCGACAAGTAATTCAAGACGAGGAAGTAGTTACAACGCAGTTTGTTCATAACTGAAGGATGACAATATTACCATGGGTACTCGATTCGATCCGCATGGTTAGGGCATGGGCATATTTTTGGCAATGCCCAAACCCTATCCAACTAGTCATGTGTACGCCCGAACACTACACAGTTATCTTATACTAGTTTTTTACTTCACAAGCGGAGGAGCCCCTGCCATGCACCACAGGTAGCCACACGCTGACGCACATATCGGATCGCTAATCTCTACGACATATGACAGTTCGTTCGCCTCCTCATCTCCGCAGGCAGCAGCGATCATATCGCTCCAGGACTCCAGGCTTCAGCCTCCAAGATCAGAAGTGGAGAAGGTAAGTTGGGAAGGGAATGCCGAGGCAGGCAGGTGCCGATCCAAGGACACATTTGATGAGCGGCAACAACACAAGGGAAAAAGGTAATTTATTTTCACATAGATTAGTACATGCCTTTAAAAATTATAGAAGTATAATCATACAAACTATAGGTGTTAATCATCACTTATAACATTTCCAATTATTTATTCGTGCTTGTGTAGGCATGAAGTGGAAGAGAGAATCCATTCATAAATTTTGCAAACCAGTTGGTTCAAGCTCTCAACTATCGGAACATTGATTCTACTACAAACGATGTGCAACCTAGCGAACAAAACCAGCCTAATCGTATTGAAGGTAATGCTCAAACTGATCATGATGTTCCCATGCGAGAGACAGAACAAGCTACAATTTTAACTACAGGTTATGACCGAGAGCCTGGGAGACGTCTTCAAATTTGGCAACTTCCTCCTGATGAGCATGGTGCTGCTAGGTGTTTTTATATATCGACTAAATGGTCTTATCAACCGGCCTTACAACCACATGAGTATAACTTTACTGGGACAGGGGCTG